TGAAGGCAAAGAGTGTGCGCTAGATGCAGCGCAAGTCAACTATCCCTCAAAAGTAACTCACTTGCAAGCCACTGCCTTCGCTTTTGGTCTACTGAATCACAATGAGTAGAACTCGTCGGTCGAACTGTCCTGTGGCATGCCTCAGCTGTAGACTTCCACATTGCAACCAATCATTTTGGAATCACCAGCTGATTCGTAGCCTCGGACAGTCGACTATTGTGTAGTTACCGCGCACGCTGGGCCACTTATGAGGCCCCACGATTGCTTTCCTCGCGTGTCTCCGGGCAAGCCGTGTGTCTGTTTCTCGTGTCCCCTAAGCACGTGCGCACCACAGCATTTCAAAGGCAGGTTATGGTCACGGACATGTGCTTACCCTCTGTCCTAATTGGCTAATCACTTTCCAAGGCCAGTTCACAATGGACCTTATTGCAGTGACTGCATACGCTCAAACACTCCCGGACCCGGCGAACTCACTGCCGGATTGCCACTCCGGACCCAGTCCGCTCATGGCTGGACAGCAATTGTTTGGGAGTCATACTCATACTCTTCCCCTTCAGCACTTAATAAAATTATTCACAACACTTTGGCCTTCCACGCCTTATCTTCTGGTTTTTTACCGTTAGGATTCCCGGCCGGACTACTTCGTATCCCACAACTGCATAGGGGAGTTAGACCGACATTGCGAGTCCACCCTCACCCCACATCAGCACTTATAAACTATCAAAATGCGCTAAAAGTCATGGCTTGGATAGCTGCCAATTTATAAGATAACTTGATCCTTCCCAAAACTAACAGTCAGGCTGTAACTTCCCCTCTTATATGTGAACTTTGCGGTATTTTAACCCATTTGCGACCTGAGATGTCCTTACAATACAATGGTACGATGGGCGTGGGAACCAGAGCGCGTGCATGGTTCGTGTAGACAGCCAGTAATTGTGGCAGTCTCACGCATTTAAAATCTGAACCGCTTCTAGACAACCCCGGTGCATGTGGTAGGGACCCTATCGTATTTGTTACTTATAGACAAATGTTTAGCTCTTTCATCTGTTTTGCTCACGTCCACCGTCCCGTGACCGTCTTGACATTATTTTCTTCACAGAGAAAAGCGGGTGAAGAAAGAGGCGATGCTTCCTCTCCCTGCGTAAGCTAATTCGCGAGCCGTCCCCGGTGCTGTGTCCATCCCGTGGGGCACGTGACAGATGTCATCGTTTTCGACATTCGGAGCGCCGTATCCGTTCGCATACTCACAGTGAAGTAAGCATCCAGGACTCCACTCGGCGTTTACTTTGTTGCTTTGCGGCCTCGCCCGCCTGCGACCTTCCGCCTCTGAATGACGGATGTCATTTTTTCTGAGAGCATTCAGGTCGGTGTGCGCCATTCCAATGAAGAGTTGCCTATCATCCACAAGTATCGTTTTTTTCGGTTGAATAACGAGGCTTACGTTTGTGCTTGACTGACGCAAATGCATCAAGAGACCCGCGTCACGGGAAGAGGCCAGCATCTTAGCGCAAAAAAGTAACGACCCGTCAGATGACCAACGATTAATATTTTCCTACCGCCACCGACACCGCCACCGCCACCGCCATCACGCTGATGCTTGGTAATTCAGTCGCATTTTACACATAAAGCGTTCCCCTAATTTCTGGGAAGTCCAACTATGTGCGTAATTTCGAACTGGGGGCCTGACTTTGTTCGTGGTCATGAAAAGCGCAAGCTCTGTGTAGCGCAGTAGTAATCAACGATTGAATGGAACATTTTTGAGTGCTCTAAATACCATGCGGCGCCATCTCCTCCTTATCAAAACATCTGCGCGCAGCTCTCACGACTGGGCTTTCTCTTGGCTTGGAGACTATTTCGCTTCCCGCACAAAATTCATTCAATCTGACAAGCTAACATGTACGGTTCGTTCCAATAAATATGGAGTTCTTCAAAATTTTGTCTTATTACCTCACCTGTTCTCTCTCCGCGCCAAGTAACCGTTTGTATATTAACTATGGTCATTGGTCATGCTCTTGAAAATCAAATACACCTCCAAGTTCCGAAGGATGGCCCAGACAACGTTTCCGCATGGTCATTAGCAAATGACCTTCTACTGAATAATCAGAAATCAGTCCAGTGTGTTTTCCAACCGTGTCTCTCTCCCAGTCCGAAATCCTTAGACATTCTTCCCTAAGAGGTGTCCTCCTTCTGGTACATCGGTGTTCCTCTGGCCTCCAAGATTTCATTCTCCCTTCATATTTAAACTATTTAAACTAAAATTAATAAACGTCTTTATTACATTTGTCGTGTACGTTCGTGTCACACAAGTCAATCCTCAATCTACCGATTTATAGATGCCCGCATTGCCTTCCCTCATCCAATATTATTATCCCATTATTACTTCAGCTTTAGGCAACAAGATTTTCTGCTTTTGAAACGTATCTTGCGAATGCTTCTTTCTACTGCCGGTGTTTCTTATGCTTTTTAGTCGACTTCGTATGTGTAGAAGACTTCGTAGATGGCTGTGATGTATATTGTACTGTAAGGCCCAGTCCCGAAAATTATCTCTTACTCATACGTGTGTTGGCAAATTTTCAGTAAAGATGACGTCATGCATACCCGTAAAGCATTCTACGCTGGAGATATCATCTCCGAGCGAGGATGGATGGCTTATACTTGTAGTGCCACCGAAATTAAAGTCCAACGAACCGTCAGAATTATCTGTTTGAAGACGTTGTTTACTGTGCGAGAGGAGCTCTAACTATTCCTCTACGTTTCTTCAATATCCTTCTTCACACGGTACCTCACTATTAGCTTACATTCCTATCTGAACATTTCAAACATAAGAATAAAAGGGTAAATAGAGTATGAAAGGTGTATAGCGAAACCTCATTCTCTTACACAGACGAGCCCACGTTGTACGCCGCGCGCACGTAATAATGACTGATTGCGCGACTGGTGGAATCCTAGTTTAGGTCCCAGAAATGGTTTAAATAATCTAATTTTTTCACAACAAAATAACCCGCTATAAATAAACACAGAAATTTCCGTATATTACTTACTTTTGTAAGGTTTATTGGGTGTGACAACTTTGGACATTTTTTTTATTACTTTTACTTTATATTTTATTGGGTTTCTTGATATTCCTGAAAAAAAAATTTGGTGGTTAGGAGGTCGTCTACTTAAAATTACCCGGAGTCCAGCTTGCCGTTCTGGAGTGAGGTTAGTATAGTTCGCGGCACTAAGCCTCGCGCACTTCTTCAATTTACATGAGCAACAAATTTACACCAGTTTATTTCATTTGGTTTGCCTAACTTATTTATATCTTAGTTCACTTTTCAGTTCATTAGTATGTTTACCATTTTTATTTTAGTTTTAGCTTATTTTTAAAGTAAAGTCAGTTTAGTTTAAGTTTTTATTTAGATCATTTTAGTTTTAGTCGATTATTTTTTAATTTAGTTATTTCTAAATTCTTGCATAATTGCACAATTCAATTATGGCACGTTACTACTACTACCTTTATGAACTTGATTTTTATTAATATTTCCTTTTTGTATTGCCTAGACTGTATACTCTTTATTTCACCCGGTTCTGTGTTACGGAAGGATGGTGCTGTCGCGTGCGGATCTGGGGCCTAAACTAGGATTCTACCGCGCGACTAATATACTCGTCATCCCATTCGCTGATAAACCGTATCCGTCCACCTTGCTTGGTTTAGGCGCTGTTCTGTTGTTAATAATTCTCGAAAGTGTGGACTAGCTAATATTAAAAATGTTAGCCAACGACTCAAGCG